CTGTACATAAAGCACTGAGCACAGTGCCAGGCCTCTGGAAAGGGCTTGGTGGGTAAGTGGTAGGTTGTCCTCTTCCTCCTCCTCTTTCCCACCAAGAGAATGTGACTGGGCATCAGCAGAACTTTGGGTCAGCCCTTTCTCTATTTATGCCTAAACATTTTGGTATGCTCTTAAATATACTTTGACACATGCCTTCCTGCAGTGAAGAAGAGAAAGGCAAATATCTTCCTTCAGTCCTCTGCAAGGACAGAATAGAATAATATATTTTTTTACTCTTCTGGTGTAATCAGGAATAAAACTCAGAGATCTTGATCAGTATACACCAGCCCTATGTGTGCACTACCATTCTTTCAACACAAACCAAACCAGTCTTTCTCAAACTGAGATCCCTGAGCCTGCATCAGAATCACCTAAGACACATGTAAAATAAATAAATAAATCTGGCACCATAACCCAGACCTACTGAACAGAATCCCTAGGGCTGAGACCTTGGGGTATACATTTAAAATAAGCCACTGTGGTTATTCCTCTGCATGGGAACACTTAGAAATTCTGACCAGTACTCTCTGTCCCCCCTCCTTGCCTGCTTAAGCGATTTCCTTGGCTTGCAGTAGTCTTTGCTGCTTTGTAGAATTCTTACACATTTTTTTTCAAGAGCTGCGTCTTCCTGAAAGCCTTCCCAGATTCTCCCAAATTGAAGTTAATTTTGTATCTTCACTGTTGTGGTTGTCATAGTCTACCTTGTAGCGTTTTCCTAGTTCCCACCAAACAGTAAGCTCCAAGAGGGCAGCGATTGCGTTATCCTAGTAACTATCCCCAGTGCCTAGCAAAATACTTCACATATAATGGGCACTAAAAGAATATTTATTGAATTTGGATCGATCCTCTAATTACTTTTTTCCAGTAAACCGTCTTGTTCTGACTTCCACAGAAGAGCACAAATTCCTTCATGGTACATATTATCAAGCCTGGGGTGTTGGAGGACAGTACTAATCAACATAACTATCCCAGGTTCCCAGTGCATCAAAACAGGGATGTGTGGTTGTGAGCAGTTGCTTTGCAATCCCTGTTTCTTCCTCATACTCTTCTTTGGATATCCTCTGGAAGACAAGTTGAACAAACCCCCAAAGTCCCAGTTAAATCCATAGCAATTAAGAGAAGAAAATGCTACTATAGTTGTATCTGGGTTGGTTTTATTTTCAGAAAACAGATTGATCATCTCACTAAAGAAGCAGCTTTCATAACACAGTATCCTTTGTCCCCGGGGACTCTGAGATAGATGAAGTACACGCATCCTTGCTTCTACTGATGGCATACAGGTACTTCCTACATCCATGTGAGGAGCAAAGGTGTGGAGATGAACTCCAGTGTCCAGTAAGGTGGTTCCTCCAGGGCCGTGCCACCCCGTCACTAATATTTTAGACACTGTTGTGGTTTTGGATGACCTTTAATCCCAGCTTCTGCTTCTCCATCAGCTAGTCAACTGGATAAGGCATTGCTCAGATTTTTGGCAATATAATGTGATGCTCCAAAATTGGAGCTATCCAATTTTCTTGTGTGCTAGAGGGTGACAAAAAAATCAACAACAAGGTATTAGAGGCACCTGGAGGGTCTAATTAGTGGGGATTAGAAAGAAATAGAATAACTGAGGGTGATAGCACATTTTGGGATTTTCTCCAAATATTAAATCGCTGCTCCTTAAAAGTGTTACATTGATTATTTGGCCTCACACCAGGCAGCAGGGTTACGCTGAGAATATCATTGGATTTCGCAGGTGAAATCAGATTTTCAGTGGGTAGGTTAGGATTTATGAAAGCCGTAGTGCTTCTGAAGGTGTGATGGAAGAGACTGGATAGCTATGGTAGAGGGAGACTCCTTACAAATTTAGGGAAAACTCATCTTATCTTTTTCTTTCTTTTTTTTTTTTTGTCTTTAGACTTTTAATGGCTGGAGAAGTAATGTAAAAGAACTCCAGATGGCCACAATTTGTCACCTAGTAAAAACATGGAATTCATAAATGAGCAGATCAGGAAAGTTTAAATTTAGGCAGAGGAAGACTTCTCCCCTCCCTGTACCTCTCCACAGCATGCAGGGTTATAAAATGATCAGAGATAAAGAGAAAAGGTCATTGAATTTGGTGAGAGGAGCTGACTGCCTCCTAGGGTAAATTTGGTGAAAATTTATGAGGAAAGGGATGCGGTAATCAAGTCGATATGGGCCTGGGGGATGGAGTCAGTGCATATGGGTCATTCCTTGAGGAACTGGCTTGGAAAATAAAGAAAATGGTGATTGTAGCAGCTGGATAAAGTTCGTATTTATTAAAAAACAGAGAACAATTGTAGTACCCCAAAGAATTCCCTTGTGCTGACCCTTTGTAGTCAGACTCTCCCTCCACCCCTAATCCCTGGCAACTATCCTTATAGTTTTTTTCTTCCTCAGAATATCATATAAATGGAATCATACAGTATGTAAAAGACCAGCTTCTTTCACTTGGCATAATGCCTATGTCAATTTAAAAAGTATTTTAAAATGCAAAGAAGCCCCTGGCCCCCAAACAAACAAAACAGGTGGGGCCTGAGAAGATGAATGTAGGGAAGGTGAGTTAGGAACATATGGATTTGTAAACAGACATTTATCTCATGAAGACTTTCAGTTCTCATGAAAATTGGGTGAGCTGATCAGTGTTGAATGAGTGGTGGGAAGGATGGAGAGCGCTAGTGACCTGACCATGCGTCATCTTTGATCAGACTAGCCTTTTCTTCCTTCTCTGGCCTTTCCCACATCCCCCATCTCCTCTGGGGAGCGTGAGTGGGGGTAGAAATACACATTCAACATACACACACGTAAATCCATGTATCTCCATTTTCATGGCAGAAGCATTTCATTTATAGAGAAGTCATGGGCGCATACCTGATTCAACTTCAGACTTAGTTGAGGGTTGTCAGATGGCATGTGATGACACCAGGACTTGTAATCTAGAGCCGTACACTCGTTTCTCAGTCCAAGGTTTATTTTGCAAAATTTTCCTTTCTAAATTTTGTATCATTTTCCTTTGAATTAATAGGAATTTAAAAATTGAGAGTGAAAAATTATAGAATGTAAAAAATTGAACTTCTGATATCTAGAATTGGAATTTTATGTAAAATATTAGTAACTAGTAATATCTGTACATAACTTCTATACTTTGTCTTTTGGTAGTGTTGATTTATTTTGCAAATTAAGTTATAATTTTATTATAAAAGCACTTACTAATCTCATACTCACTGATTCTTCTGGATACTTTTTCCTTTTTCATTAGGAATTAACTGGCATTTGTTTTCCTTGTTTTTTTCCTTGGTGTGATAATCAATGCATAGGTGATACCATTTCCCACAAAAAGGAAATAGCAGGTGGGGTTTCTTGGGACATTTATCACATTTATCAACTATTACCTTCACCTTACTATTTTTCACCCATGATGATTAATGTATTCATGTCCTCATATATGTTGACCACATATTCTGCTGATGACATAATTTATAGGGAGATGTAAGGGGTTGTTACCATATACCAAAGGTCTTCAAAAGAGAGTGAAGCATTCTATTGCAGGTTACTCTTGGTGCTAGCATGGGAGTTATTAGAGATCCAACATATTACTCTTCTGCCATAAAGAGATTTTATTGTATCTTGCATTTGTCTGGAGGGCAATTACCTGGTACTTTTCATATATCTAGAAGTCAGAATATAAGCCTTCAGAGTGGTCAAAATTTGCTAAAAGTAAATATGTAAACCTTGTGCCTCCTCCATGACAGGTGCTTTACATATATTGCTTTATTAGACTCCACATTAATCTTATGTGGTCCTCATTGCTGTCACATTTTACAGAAGAGGCAATTGAAGGTTTAGACATCTAGAGCTGGGGTTTCAGCTTGGGTTTGTGTGTCCCTCAAGATCCTCACTCTGAGTCCTGTTACTCCCATATTCAGGCATTCAATATTTTTTTCAGTACCTACTTGTGACAGGCCCCAGGTATCCAGGATTAAAGACAGATATACAGAGTCCTAAGGAATTCCTCTATCTGTTTTTTTGGGCTGCAGTACATAAGAGAGAGCCTAAAAAAGAGATACGGCTTGAAGACAAAGACACAGTATATCTCATCTAGTGCTGCATCCACAGGGCAGCTCCTAGTTGGAGCTCAGTAAATACATGTGGAACAGATGAATGACATTATTGAGATGTTAATAGTTAACTAGGAGAGAAAATGAAGTACAGAAAGGATATAAGAGCAAACAGCAGAACTGTGTTGGACCATTTAGTGTTTGACTAAGCACTTGCATTCCTCCAGTGGCCCCATGGAGTATGAGGAGCCTTCAGTGTACCTGCTCATGCCCAGAATGGGGATGTAGGGCCGCTGAGTGACTAAGGTGACCTGGGCTCTGCACCATAGGGGGAAAGTCGCCCATGAACGGGACACCCTTTTTAAAGAACAAGGAAGTATGCAAAACATTTTAGAAACGTTTCCATTAAAACTGGCTCTTTACCCCTTAAAAGTATGCCAAAGGACTAACCTTCAGTAGTGTGGAAAAATCGCACAGGTGGAGAAGCTCTTTCCCTAATGATATTGGATAAAGGGATATTACATAATATAATTTGTTTTCTTTTCCCTGATAAATTTTAACATTAAATTTTCATACCAAATGAATCTTTAAAAATTCAAGTTATATTCTTTGGGAGATACCTTAAGTATTCTGTGTAGTAGTATATGGCATATAAAAATCTGTAGTACTGGAACAATTGAGTAGATTGCATAAAATAAGAAAACATTTTTTGATTAATATCATTTGAAAGAATTACGATGTGTTGAAATAATTCATATTTGGAGTGTCATTTAGTATCTGTAAGGAAAAAAATGGAGAAATTAGGAGACTATTGAAATGATTTCAATTTCATCATTCAGCAGCATCGATGCGCTACTTTCTTGTTCCAAGTATGTATATTAACAGTGATGTTTTGCCTTACAGCTTTTCTGGGAGAAGAGGCTACAAGGACTTAGTGCATCAGATGTAACAGAACAAATTATAAAAACCATGGAACTACCTAAAGGTCTTCAAGGTATTATCCAAATCCAGTTGAGCAGTACCCTGTGTGCCAGGCTCTGTGTTAGATGCTGTGGAGTCAGAAATGATGAAGACAGGGTCTTTACTTTGGGGGATCGTATGCCTTGCTGGATGATGTCCCTTTTGTGTTTTAATAAACCCAGGGAAAACGTATCTGAAAAGCTTGTGTGTTGTAGGGATGTTTCAG